ATACCTACAGCATATTAAATCATAAAAAATTACATATGTATACATGTCAAAGAAATGTTATCTTACTCATAATCTTATCAGTGCTATTATTTTCGCTAGAATTTATAAATACTTTTCAACCTTTGAACTCGAATTTAATACCTCAAGCGATCAGTCAGTGTAATGTAAATCAATAATTTACTTAAATAATTAAATATTACTTGAGTTAAATCTAAAGTATTTGGCTAATACGTTTTTTTCTGCAGGTGTTTTTATTGTAGCTGCGAAGCGTACCCCATTTGGTACAATGGGTGGAGCGTTTCTTAACAAAAGTGCAACTGATTTATCAATAGTTGCTGCAACATCTGCTTTGCAATCTGCAAACTTGAAACCTGAAAAAGTAGACAATGTCATTTTCGGTCATGTATTAGCTGTACGTACTTACTTAACGAATTATTAATTACTTTGATGGGCCGTCACTTATTATTTTATTTTTCCAATTACTGTTCATTAGTCAGCATCTTCTGACGGAGCTTTCTTAGCGCGTCATGTTGCATTGAAATCCGGTGTACCTATAGAGAAACCAGCTTTCGCAGTAAACAGACTATGCGGTTCGGGATTTCAATCAATCGTTAGCGGTGCACAGGTATAGCTTTAAATACAATGCAGCGTCAATAAAATATAATGAATTACATGAAAATTGATAAAGGAACTATTTTTTTCAGAGTATTGTAACAGGGGAATCTAAAATTGTTTTAACAGGAGGTGCAGAGAACATGAGTCAAGCTCCATTTGTAGTGAGGAACATTCGCTTTGGTACAACTTTAGGGCAAAAGTACGAGTTCGAGGACTCCCTGTGGCTTGGATTACTCGATACTTATTGCAATTTACCAATGGGCATGACTGCAGAGAAGCTTGGAGCGAAATATGGTTTAACCAGAGAACAAGTAGACGAGTTCGCTCTAAGAAGTCAGCAGCTGTGGAAAGCCGGCAAGTATATTTTTAACTTTCACTTTATTCATGTGTCGTCTAGTCATTGACATCGAGTTGTGGTCTCTCCAGCCAACGATGCCGGCCGCTTTAAGGAGGAGCTCGCGCCCGTTACGGTAACCGTGAAAAAACAAGAAGTTATCGTTAACACAGACGAACATCCGCGACCTCAAACAACTCCTCAGAGTTTAGCCAAATTGGCCCCCGTTTTTAAGAAAGATGGAATAGTTACGGCAGGATCCGCATCGGTATGTAATTAAAATAAATTGCACGCTTGAATGATATGTTCCTAAATAAACAATTTTATATCGCAGGGTATTTGTGATGGAGCCGGAGCCGTTATCTTAGCTAGTGAGGAAGCCGTGAAAGCAGAGGGACTTACGCCACTTGCGCGTTTGGTAGGGTACAGTATCGTAGGTGTAGAACCTAGTATTATGGGAATTGGACCAGCTCCAGCTATCAAACAACTTCTTAAAGTGGCAAATAAGACTTTGAACGATGTTGAACTAGTTGAGGTAAATCTCTTTTATCAGTAAATTTCTCTTAGAATTCTGTAATCGTTTGAGTTTTCGTTTTGATATTAGATCAATGAAGCATTTGGAGCTCAAACTTTGGCATGCGCTAAGGATTTAGATCTAGATATAAACAAATTGAATGTAAATGGTGGAGCTATTGCTCTTGGACATCCACTTGCTGCATCCGGCAGTAGAATCACTACGCATTTAGTACACGAATTGAGGTGCGTTAACATTTAAAAGCGAATATATTAGCATCCGTTCGTAATGATGAATAATTAATATGAATATTTACAGAAGACGAAAAGCCGGAAAATTGGGTATCGGCTCTGCCTGCATTGGCGGAGGTCAAGGGATAGCTGTGATGGTAGAGGTTCTCTAATTTTACGATGAGAAAACGCAATACGAGATAGTAAACGTGCAATAAATGTCGGAAGAGATACGCGTATTATAAAAGCAGTGTCAACATTTTTATTTTTTATGCTTACAGTGCAGAAGCATGTATAATTTTCTACCATGTTTATTACTGTTTAAATAAAAATTCTTATATTTTTCTGACGCCTAAGTTAATCAAGCTGTACTGGTTTTTAAAACAGTAAAGATAGAGTATGATGTACGTAGGAACTAGAAGAGGTACGTCAATAAGTTATAAAGAAGGGACTAAGAAGTGATCGTAAAACTCGTATAGGTACTAGAACGAAATTCTCTAAAAATAACTCCATAATAATTCCAGCAGTTATAATAATAATAGGCGATTAACTTCTTGCCATTATAATGGTCAAGGCTTGCTTAAACTTTTTGCTGTTGTCCCACCAATTATTCGAATAGGCGGGACATAAGAATTATCGCACCGGCCATCACTATCTCCATATCCTGCCGATCTACAATAACGTACGCGATGTCCCTAATAATGGTAAAACTCTGTAGAAACCCTACAACGAAAATTCCGTAAACGATGAACAAATATTTGTATTTTACATTTCCGGGCCACATGCCCAGGTAATAAAAGATTCTGAGACAATGTTGCAAATGTTCGTTCGGTTTGATATTTTTCAACTTCGTGCGCTTCGTTCGTTTCGCGAAAATGTTCATGGTTTCGAGCGAATTACTTTGAACGCATTCGATCCAAAAGTTTACTCCCGTATCTAATAGAATGAATTCGAGTTTGATTTAGCCGCTTGGTTGGAGTACAATCTATTCGCCGTAAAGATTACGTAATAATTAACCAAATGGCATAGGGAACAATTTCTAGATCTGTAATTATATTGCTTCCCTCTATTTGTATACAGAATTTAAAGATAACTCTTTCATCCTATTTCGTACAATTTCCATTCGATTATAGAGAATGTATCATTATTAATATTAAATGGTAATGGACTTAATGCGTTAAGTACATACATCAAAGTAGATGTTATAGGAGCGATTTCAGCTGGTTGGAAACAGCTACAATGATATCTTCTTTTGAGCATTGAGATAAGCCTTCCTAATCTCTAATAACTGCATGATTAAAGTGACCAGTTCGTAAAAAACATTACACATAACAATAACAAATTTACAAACGTATGGTGAAATTTTGTGGATTTCAAGCGAAGTTTCGTGTTTCGGAGAAGGAGGAAGCATTACGTTTGATATTGGGTTTGAGGGATATTGCTTTTTCCTCGGTGTACTGCCTCTACCGCCTCGATAAGGGAACATTCACACAACTTGCTTATCATATCTCTTCTCTACAAAAATAGTTGCAAGTTTAATTAACACTTGACATTCTATATAATAATATACTCATATATAGAGATACGGTGTTGTCAACGTTGTAACGAACTTTCGGCTCCTCAAATATAAAAGATCATGAGATTGCTATTTTGATTAGTCATCCGGTCAGTTTCATGTTAAATCGGAGTAATCTGCCCCAGTTAGAAAGAATTCGGTTTGTAAATTATACAGTTTTCAAACGGCTATCAGAGATGATGGTCAGCAAAGACGTGCCCGATGTCGAAGTAAGTGAAACTTTAATGTCTCATGTTGATAAGTGTATTTGAAACTGTCTTTAGTGAAGATTTTTCACGCATCTCCATCATTTCAGAATCTTCTACAGTTAAATCCTAAGATAAAACCATTCGCGAGTCTTGTACCCTCGACGCATACCAAACAAATTAAAAAGAAGTGGAAGAGAAATGTTAATGAAAAATGCGATGTAAGATCCGTGACATAAATAAATCTCTACATTATTCTAATTTAAAATTATCTTGCAGAAATGTCCACTGTTGAAAAATTTTGATGATGTAAAACCGACGACGTTGGGCGAACGTGGCGCATTAAAGGAAGCTGCGCGTTGTTTGAAATGTACCGACGCGCCTTGCCAAAAATCATGTCCAACCCAAATAGACATCAAGTCGTTTATTACTTCTATTTCGAACAAAAATTATTACGGGGCAGCAAAGACCATTCTATCGGACAATCCTCTAGGTCTCACTTGCGGCATGATTTGCCCGACTAGCGATCTTTGTGTGGGTGGATGCAATTTGCATGCGTCCGAAGAAGGGCCCATCAATATCGGCGGCCTTCAACAATTCGCCACAGACGTAGGTACATTATTCAGTGATACTCTCAATGAATCAACTTAGAAAATAATTTCTAGATCTTCAAACGGATGAATATTCCGCAAACTAGAATCCCCGGACAAACTGTTCCCCATGCCACCACGAAGATTGCCTTGCTTGGCTGTGGTCCGGCTTCTCTGTCGTGTGCAACTTTCCTTGCCCGCCTGGGCTACGAAAACATCACGATCTTCGAGAAGGAAAATTACATGGGCGGTTTGAGCTCCTCAGAAATTCCACAATATCGATTACCGTACGATGTCGTTAACTTTGAGATTGATCTCGTCAAAGATTTAGGAGTAAAAATCGAATTCTGCAGATCGTTGTCCGAGAACGATTTGACGATAGAGGTTTTTAAATAATCCTATAATATAAGTTCACAAAAAGAGTATATAAAGCTCAAGCATTGACGTATTCTTTTAGGTTCTTCAAAATACCGGTTACAAAGCAATCTTTTTAGGGATCGGTCTTCCAGATGCAAAGACCGATCCAGTTTTCTCGGAGCTGACAGAAGAAATGGGTTTTTTTACATCGAAGACCTTTTTGCCGAGAGTAACTAAGGGTAGTAAGCCAGGAATGTGCGCGTGCAAAAACAATCAGTTACCGTCTCTGTGGGGAACTGTCATTGTCCTCGGAAGTGGTGACACGGCTTTCGACTGTGCCAGTTCTGCACTAAGATGCGGCGCAAAGAAAGTCTTTGTAGTCTTTCGGAGAGGATTTACAAATATCCGAGCTGTATCGGAAGAGGTAAACTAAAGAAGATCAACTGTTACATCTTAATTATAATTTCCGATAAAAAATGTATTTTTATATAATTAGATGGATATAGCGAAGAAAGAGAAATGTGAGTTCATTCCCTTTCTATCATCAAAGCGCGTAATCATTCGAAGCGGAAGGATAATTGCAATTGAGTTTTGTCGGACAGAGCAAAAGGAAAGCGGCGAGTGGATAGAAGACGAGGAACAAGTTTGTCGACTGAAAGCAGACTTCGTCATAACCGCTTTCGGTTCGGGATTGCAAGATCCGTCTGGTAATCCCGATCCGTTAGTTGCATCAAGAAAATTTTTTTCAACTCAAAAGAAGTTTGTTAACAAAAGTAATTTTTATATTTAAGTTACGCGAGCGATGGCGCCCGTTAAGATGAACAAGTGGGGCTTACCGGAAGTAAACGCGGAGACCATGAGTACCTCGGTACCCGGCGTGTTTTGCGGCGGAGACTTGGCCGGCGTTGCTCAAACCTCTGTGGAATCTGTAAATGATGGAAAGACAGCCGCCTGGTGTATTCATAAATATATTCAGGTTACAAAATTTAGTACTCGGTATATGATACATATGTGTAAAATACATTCGAGGAATGAATTTTTAATTAATTCGATAGAATTCTTATAATTTGGATCTGCCAGAAGAACCGCAATTACCTAAATTCCACACTCCAATTGACGACGTTGATTTGTCTGTTGAAATGTGCGGTATGAGATTCGAAAACCCCTTCGGTCTGGCCTCTGCACCACCCTGCACCACTAGTGCCATGATCCGTCGAGCTTTCGAAGCTGGCTGGAGCTTCGCCGTTACGAAAACATTTTCTTTGGATAAAGTATAATTAATTCGTCACGCAGTCTATAAGCAGATACATATTCAGAGAAAACATTTAAAAAAGATAATCTTTAGGACCTCGTTACAAACGTATCTCCACGGATAGTTAAAGGAACCACTTCGAGGCACCATTATGGTCCGGAGCAGGGCAGCTTCTTGAATATCGAAGTGATATCCGAGAAGACAGAAGCTTATTGGTGCAAAAGCATTACGGAATTGAAGAGGGACTTTCCATCCAAGGTTTGAACTATCTATATGAGTTTCCAGAATATTCTACTTTTTTTCCTCATACAAATATATTTCCAGATTGTTATTGCTAGTATTATGTGTACGTACAACAGAGCAGATTGGACGGAATTAGCTCAGAAGGCTGAAACAGCCGGTGCTGATGCTCTGGAATTGAATTTGTCTTGTCCTCACGGGATGGGAGAATCTGGAATGGGTTTAGCTTGCGGTCAGGTATATTTTCATCAATTTTAATCATTTCTTCATACCTCCGATTGAATTTCACCGGAAATTTTTTATGTTTCAGGATCCAGAATTGGTGAGAAATATTTCAAGATGGGTTCGGGCAGCCATAAAAGTACCATTTTTCGTGAAGCTGACGCCAAATATTACTGACATCCTTTCGATAGCTACAGCAGCGTATGAAGGTACTTGCTTTGACAATAAATTTAAATAATGTATGGATAAAAAATAATTCTCTGTCACAGGTCAGGCTGACGGGGTGTCTACTATAAATACAGTACAGGGTTTGATGGGGTTGCATGCGGACGCGACGCCGTGGCCTGCCGTTGGCATCAAGAGGGCGACAACTTACGGCGGCGTTTCGGGGAATGCAGTTAGACCACAAGGTTTAAAAGCTGTTTCTTCCATATCACAAAATTTACCGGGATTTCCCATACTTGGAATTGGCGGCATCGATTCCGCAGACGTTGCTCTTCAATTTTTGCACTGTGGAGCTTCAGTTCTACAGGTGAAAATTTTTGCATTTTCTCCTTATGCGTTCCTTATACACAAAAACGTAATACGTGTGCATATATGTTAATCATTTTTTAATGATAGGTTTGCAGTGCTATACAAAATCAAGATTTCACCGTGATTGACGATTACGTAACTGGTTTAAAAGCGTTATTGTACTTGAAGAGTTTGAATCAAGTGAAGGATTGGGACGGACAGAGTCCACCCACGTTCAAGCACCAAAAGGGGAAACCGGTTGTATTGCAGCATGCTCTTGGCAAAGTACGTGCAACGGTTTGCGATCGTTTAACAATCTAATGTATGCAACATTACTGCTGTATGTTTTAGAACATACCATATTTTGGAGAGTATCAAAAACTTCGGGAACAGAAGATAGCTGAGATCAAAGCCAATTCAGATCCGCTCGATATGCCCGTCGAAGTAACGAGACCAGTGCCGAAACCCGTAGCGCCTGTACCAACGATAAAGGATGTTGTTGGCAAAGCCTTGGATCATATCACCGCGTTCAAAGAATTAAATAACAAAGAACAAGTGGTAGCGTTGATAGATGACGTACGTATCAACTATTTCTTTTATTTATGTGTATTCTTATTTTATTATTCATATTCTACATTAGCTGATGATAATTCTATCCATTAGGACATGTGTATAAATTGCGGTAAGTGTTACATGGCTTGCGCCGATTCCGGTTATCAGGCGATCAAGTTCGATCCTGAGACACATATACCAACAGTGACGGACGATTGTACAGGCTGTAACCTGTGCCTTTCAGTGTGCCCTATTATCGATTGTATCACGTAAGTTTCCTTACCCATTCATCTAAAACTGCCTAAAATATTTTATTTTGTTTCTTTGAATTGTTTTTCAGTATGGTGCCCAAAACGATACCCCACGTTATTAAAAGAGGAATTCCACCGCGAGGGATGTTCGAATTAACAGACCCGGTGAATTAATTGTTCTATCAAATCTGTAACACTAATATACCTATTATGTAAATGGAACCAAATGCATGCTCAAAGAATCTATTTCGATATCTCTATAAAATAAAATGATAAACTTACTCTTTCCTATATTAGTTGATCAATTAAATAATAGTAAAGAAATCCGGGTTGTCGAACCATTCCATTACTTGCGGCTGGGAGGTATCAAAGTTATACTCTTCGCATTTATCATTTACAATGCGGCGCCTGAGGTTTGATGTTAATTATATTCGTACACAAATATGTATGTAAGGATGTGAAAACGTACGAAATTTTAAAATAGATTACCTTGAAAATATTTTACAATTTATAATAGGATAATACTTCTTGAAACACTGAGGTCTCAAGAGATTAAAATACGTCGTTCCGATTTTAGTGGCTATAATGTTATTCGCTTCTTTCAAGCACCCGTAAAAAGCTTCGTCACACACGCACGCCGATCTGTACATTAATTGGCTATTGAGCATTCTCTTCAGTTGATAACAACCGAACGTGCAAATTACCTCGTGAATATTCCATTGTTCTTAAGACCATCTCGTATTCCATCCGCTGGGATATTCTCGGAGCAAAGATCGTGAGCCTTACAACAGGCATCTGTTTTCTCAAAAAGTCCAAGATCGGATTCGTTCGGAGATATATTACCATCGCCACACCAGTATGTTCCTAAAAGTAATACTTTCGATTCTTCGTTGATTAATTATACTAGATAACACGTACCTGGATATATCGCCTGAATCTCAATTTTTAATGGACTAAGGATATCGGCGATTGTCGTTGAATTCTTCTCTTGTTTAGCATCTCTGCTCGTTCCATCGTCCTCTTTCAGTAAACTCAAAGCTATTTGCTTCAAATCGTCTTTAATTGTTAGAACCCCACGACTGATTTTCTGCTTCGATTTTATTAGTCGTCGTATCACTTTTTCCATCGAACTAACGTATGTTTCCTTTAACTTCGAATTAGTACCACATTTTCCAAATTCGTAAATCGAAAAGATCACGACACATAACAGCATTATGCGAATTGCATACATCATGATATGTCTGCGCATAGAAGGCAAAGATTAGACGAAACATGATAAAATACAAAAATCTTTTGACGATCTGTGACCTTTTTTTACTGCGTAAGCGTGAGCTGAAGAGTTTTAAATGATAAGACGAGGTCGCAGTAATATATCGTCAGCGATGGTGTTTGTTTTCGTTTGAACACGACGTTATTTGAACAAACAATTCCAAGTGAAATACGTACTGACTTCTCCAATGTCACGTTCGTTGCAATATCGGCTAATCATTTCGCTGTAGCTATAGTGCAATTTTATTTTCTTTCGTTTGTTCACTGTTTATCGATCGACATCTGTGCAGATGCTTGAATATTCGATAAAACGGTGTTATCTGAATTAATCGCGTGTAATTTTATGTGAATTATAATTGGCAAGCCCACTATTAAATAATAATGCACGGTCACACCTGTTTCTTCATATTATTTGAAGCTTGCCAAGGGTATGTCAAGCATGTCTAGGTATACGCTTAACATATAAATTACGAATGTTTTAACTTTATTATACAAAAGGATATGTACAAATTAAAAGTAATGATTTATAAACGCGACGTATTCGTTAGCGTTTACAGTGTATCGCTCAGCGATTCGCTTGTCCTTGGCCCATCTTCCTTAGTACACTCATCCGCATCCGAAATCTGTTGATCCTGCAAGGCGCGTCGCTTTTGAAGCCTCGCACATCGCGGACAACAATGATTTCGTTTCGACCAACAGGCACGATGATGAACAGCCGAACAATGATGACAATTGATAGAGCTCGCATCCCACGGATATATAATCTCATCGTTGCCACACAATTCGCACAGGTGACCTCTGCATGAGGAATTTAAATTTGCAAATTCAATTACCGGACGACATCGTACAAGTTCGTTCGTTAAAGTATTACCTCGCTTTGCACAATTCGCACTGCACCGTGATGTGTGCATGCATTGTATCATACGCAGCATGGATCTCTTCCAAAAGTGTCCCATTGTTAAGATCGACGAGGTCTTTGATAGAATAATTCCCCGAATTCTCTATCATGTGCGTCCGTATTCCAATTTTCCATGGCAATCCTTGATTATTGGCTTCGGGACACAGAACTAAATAACGTTTCATCATCTGCATTTCCTCTCGCATTCTCTGTTCATTATTTCCAGCACGTTCATAAATATTACTTTAGAGGATTATAGATATCTTCGATTTATTTTACCTTCACTAACGACAGGTCGGGAACCAAGGTAAATAATTTTGGGTTCAATTCCTCGAGTAGCAAGACAGAACGGTCTTCCAAAAGTGTTAGAAGTTGGGCGGCAGCGCGAGACACGAATCGCGGTTCCATGTCCCAGTTTCGGACTACTCTCGCAGGAATCACCATTGCCGTGTTCCAATGGCATCTTTGACAATAATACAACCCGCTGTAGTCACAAAGTCGCGGCTCGACCCATGCCGAATCTACGGTCACGAATATCAAATTAGCAAAAATCCGATCAGAGAGAATGCATTTTTTAAGTGACCTCAAACTTTCTCTCATTTATATGTGGTTACCTGTGCTCTTGAAAGGACTGCCGAAGCAAGAGAAGGATAATCCTTTTGAGAAAGCTTGTAATAAAAGTATAGTTTGTCCATATCTCGAAAAGTATCTCTCACGTAAAACGACCAATACTTTTACGAGAATTTATTTTTATATTAAATTATTGATCAGGTAATATACTTACTGAACGTTATTTTCACCTTGCACTCGGCGCATCTGTACCCTTGACCTGACAAGCCTTGCTCAGGACAAATATCTTTTGTGTAAGTGTAACCACCTGCTTCACTGGCAACTACGTGCACACAGACCCTACATATATTACTCAAACATTTCCAATGACAACAAAATTTACAATCTGTAAAGAGAAATAAAAATGAAATGTAGGAATATTTACTAATGAACGACAACAATTTGTAAAGACTCTTACCGCTACACATGTACCATGATTGAAGCATAGTCCAGATAGCTCCACTGCAATGATCACAGTAAACAGGTCCAGAAGTTGTTATATAATATTTTTGTGGCACTAGATGGTGTCCTAAGATCACTTGTGTTTCAAGCAAATTATCCTGTGACGTTTCTCTCAATTCTTGTGCTCTCAAACGTAATTCAATTAATCTCCTCACAAGCCATTTTCTCTCATCTGAACATTCCGCACTTTCTAAAACCATCTGTTTACACTTCTCTATCATCTCTTTAAGATCTTCTTCACAAGAACCCTACAAAGTAAAACATAAATGAATGATATAAAGCATTGTTACTCTACTATAATATTAAACAAATGTTTTATATGTTTCATACCTTAGATAATGAAAGTATATTTTCTACTGACTTTAAACTAAAAGGTACAACAGCTTTGCTCTCTGAGCTATCATCTGCTTCGCCTGTCATATAATCAGATGATGAAGAAGGTGTCGATGGCATAGTTCCAATGCTATCAGCTCTGACCCTTGGTTCATCATTGAAATCAGGTGTTCCATTTATATTAGTTTTTATATCAACCATTTTCCAGAAGCAGCACATTAAATTATGCACTAGAAATATTGCTAATAGCTGCAGCTTTATTGGTTAATTATGAATGCCCATATTTATTTATCAAGGATTCTTTGCAATTTTTTCAGTATCAAGGATGATAGAAATATACAGGTGTTCATACATTACAATTACTAACAATGTATTTTATAAGCACATTAAGACAGGCACCTATTTAAGAACCAAAGAATATTAGATAAAGTAAACACTTTGTTCACATAATCCTAAGGATAATACGTACATAAAATTTTATTGCACTTAAACTCACTATTGTTTACGTAACAGAATTCAATAATCGTGTAAATGTACAGATTTTGTAATATGCTGACGCAGCATTATTACATTAATTTACGTTGATTCTGTAAGAAAGGTAACAAAAATATATCTATAATCTACAGGCAAGTACAGATTAGTGATAACTTATTTTCAGGACTGACTACAGTGACTACTGACATCTGTCAACGTATCACATGTATATTTTGTTTTGTACTGCAATGTGCTGTTTACATCTAAAGTTGAAAGATTGTACGTGTTCATTCACTTTTGAAGATGAACATACATTTAGCGAAAGATAATTTTTACAATCAGTAAAATTAATTTACGCTTCTGCTTAATAAAAGAGTGTAAGACCATACATGAACAAAAACAATGATTTAATCGTTCTAACCTGAAATACGATTAAGCGACAGTGTTTATCTCATTCATTAATATCGTCTGTGGATAGTTTCTAGATGAAGTTTTAAAAAGAGACATTAAAACTATAAAAATAGAAGTATTTGAACTGCACGAGTGTTAGAAATATCGTCTACACACCATGAATACAAAAAGAATTATAACGTTCGGAAAAATTAGTAAGGACTTGAAACGAGAAACGCCTGGAAGTACAGAATCTGTGAGTTCTGGATTTGGTACGTTCGGCAAGAAGTCAGTGGAGACTAATGTGACTAAAATGAATGAGATTAGACCAGAGGATGAGGAGGAGACACAAAATTTAAAACAAGTCATGGGTATCAGTGGTTTTGGTAAGAAGGCTAAATCTTTCGATGTGCAAGAAATGTTAGAGAATATTACCAAAACCATAAAAAGTAACAAATCAAGTGCTGAACAAGCAAGAACTAATGAGAAAGAAACTAAAAGTAATGAACAGTCTGAAAAAGAAAAGGATAATGATGCAGATGATAACGATGAAGATGATGATCTTATTGGACCTCCTATACCTCTTGAACTTCAGAATTCAACAAATACAGAATCAACTACGAAAGTGAAGAACAGAGATAATGATGACAATGATGACAGTGACGAAGATGATAAGGAATCTGATACAGAAGAAGAATCCCTGGATGGATTGAAGGACAAGATTCCATGCACTCATGAAGTTACAATGACACATGGAACGAAGGCAGTAACTGCCATTGCAGCAGATCCCTCTGGAGCCAGACTGGCTTCAGGTTCTATCGACTATGACGTATGCTTTTGGGATTTTGCTGGTATGGATTCGTCAATGCGAAGTTTTAGAACGTTGCAACCGTGTGAGAACCATCCAATCAAATGCTTACAGTATTCGATGACTGGCGATGTTATATTAGTCATATCTGGTTCTGCTCAAGCGAAAGTCTTGGATAGAGACGGTTTTGAAAAATGTGAAACAGTAAAGGGCGATCAGTACATAACAGATATGGCATGTACTAAAGGTCACACGGCAGGATTAAACAGTGGTTGTTGGCATCCTTTCACGAAGGAGGAGTATCTCACTTGTTCACAAGATAGTACGTGTAGGATATGGATCTTGTATAGACCACGTTCGCACAAGTATCTAATAAAATGTAGAGCGCAAAATGGAGTTAAGACTATACCAACCACGTGCGGTTACAGTAGAGAAGGTAACGTGGTGGCTTGTGGATGCGTGGATGGTTCGATACAAATGTGGGATCACAGAAAGAATTTCGTCAATCCGTCACTAGTTCAAAGACACGCACATACACAGGGATCCGAGATATCGAGCTTAAACTTCTCGTATCTGGGACACATGCTCGCCACTAGAAGTTGCGACGACACCATGAAGCTCTGGGATTTAAGAGCATTTAAGGCCCCCGTCTTTGAAGCCAAAAATTTGTACTCCAGATACGATACGACCGATTGCATGTTCAATCCGGATGATTCGATCCTGATTACAGGAGAATCTCTCAATAGAGGTCAAACCACCGGTAGGATCTTGTTCTATGACACGAAGACATTTGATTTGGTCAACGAAATAAATGTAACGAATTCGCATGTGATTAAAACTCTGTGGCACCCGAAGTTGAATCAAATATTCATCGGCTGCGGGAACGGAATTGTTAAAGTATATTACGACACGAAGAAGAGTTTGAGGGGAGCTAAATTGTGTGTTGTGAAAACGCATCTCAAGCAGAAGCACATCGAGGTGATGTCCACGCAACAAATTATCACCCCGCACGCGTTACCGTTGTTCAGACAAGACAGGCCTAAGTCGGTCCGCAAACAAATGGAGAAGGATCGCTTAGATCCAGTGAAATCCAGACGACCGGATTTGCCGATCACTTCCGGACAAGGTGGAAGAGTCGCATCTTCTGGAGGAACGCTTAGCTCATACGTGATCAGGAATTTGGGACTGAGCAAAAGAATAGAGGACGATCAAGACCCGAGAGAAGCTATCTTGAAATATGCTAAAGAGGCTGAGGAAAATCCGTACTGGATCGCTCCAGCGTATAAGAAGACGCAGCCGAAGACGATATTTCAAACGGATGAACAGGACGGGGCGTCAAGCGCAAAGAAACCAAAAACTTAGGCTCTGAATGTATAGATTTTTGTATTATTATTATTACCGTTCATTCGACGCACTTGTTCTTGATGTATTAAGAAATGTAATTAATAAGCAGAATAAATTATACATATCAAGAAAAAAATCCTGCGTAAGAATGAATGAATGATGAGTGAATCCTGCGTGACGGGAGGGAGGGGGTGCAGGGACTCACAGTATACATGTATAATGTACGTTATATGTTAGGAAATTAGGAACTCATACCAAGTTTTGTTGAAATCAAAGAAGCTCCATGTAATTAAACAATTTAAGGGTTCCATAGAAAGATACGTATCATGAATCTCGAGGTGGCGAATCGAAATGAAATGCGGTTGTGCGGTTTGTCAGATGGCGGGAGCGCGAATCTGCCAATAATTTTGAAATCGATGCGGTTGATTCCGGCGACGCGAAGTTGTGAAGAAAGGTTTGCCGGCGAGGGAGGCAGGAGAGCGAGGTATCGTTAGCCGACGAGGGTGCAACGCGCAGTAGGAAATTGGGGATCCGAATCTAAATAAATCGATCAGTAAATAGATCGAGCCTGCTTCCTACTGTTTTGCGATTGGATAGCAAGGGGACGGGAGGCCGAGGGGTGAAGAGGCCGTGTATTTGCGGCGTTCAAGTCGGCAGCTGCGATCGTCTCTTCTGGCAAACATTATCGTGACACCGTTTTGTGCGTGTTGAGACAGAATCTCTAGTCGTGGGATTCGTATAATCGGTTCTTCCGACCGGTCCGGTTGGTGGCCGCGCGCTTCCGATCCATGAATCCGGTGATACTACCTACAGATTCCGGTGTGCCATTTACTGTGCATCGTGGCGGCGGCGGCGACGATTCCAGCGACGATTTATCGCGCGACTCACTGGCAAGTATCTACCACCAGCGGATCGTTCCCGATGCAAATCCCTCACGACTAAGAACTATATTCGTTTCGAGCGACGCGCGAACCGCTTCCGCGTACATACCACGAATTCCTCTCGGTTGCCGCCGCGTTCCAAACTTCTTGCCTCTTGTTTCATCTTTTGTCTGCTTGATTCGCATGGCTGTGGATAAAACCATTCGGGACTGATCTAAGCGATGGTTCATTGTCTTAACTTTAAAAAGTAAACTTTATCAAACACCGACTGTCACTTTTTTAAATTTGTATTACGTAACGAACGTAAAACGTAGAGAAATTTATGTGTAATTTCAGAATATGTAATTTTGCGACTGTCAATGTCAATGTTAATATCGAGCACGATTTGCTTTTAAACGCGTCAATGAGCGAACGTCTTTCTCGTCGAATCGTTTTCAGATTCGATCATGAACGATTCGAACGACTTACGCATTTAGATCGGCGGAACAACTCGAGGAAGTCGAAGCTCGTGAACTAATTTCGTTTGTTTCGTATTATATAATCGGTTGAACCGACACGGAAATCGCTCCGTGAATTTCTGCCCCCGTAACTCCAACGAAACGAATTGAGCACGTTTCGTAGAAATCGTCATTCACTCTAACGCATATAAACGCATGAATTTCAGATGTAGAGCAACATGGCAAAGAACATAGTCAACTTAAAATTCACGAAATTCGACAATACGCCATGGGGATTTCGTCTGGCAGGTGGAAGCGATTTTCCACAGCCCCTAACTGTTATCAGAGTACGTAGTCAACATTGCAAACCGCTTGCATTATTTATATTATTAAATTAATCTCGCTTAAAGCAGTGAAACTTAAGTACAAAGATATAGAATCCAGATATCTCATATAGTATAAGAAAAGAAAAATTAGAACTTTTATGCGGATTGTAGGAGTTCTTCTCTCGTAAATGTTTTTATAATTGCATGCAAGACTGTAGAAATGGTGGCATATTTACAGGCGTTTGAACGCCGGTACTGTAGAACAAGCGCATCAGTTTCTGCATTATCAGCAATTTTGAACGCGATCACAGCTGCAGCGCAACCGCAATATTTGATTGTTGAATTGAGCTGGTCCACGTACAGATTTCTTCACGGAACTTGTACTCTGAAGTATAATATTTCTCGAATAGGAAATAAATAAAATGGACTGTAAAACGTTTGATAGGTCATCGAAGGAAGCCTGGCGGAATGCATGGGTTTGATAGTCGGCGATGTGGTGGTGCGTTTGAACGATCAACCCATCAGCAGCTTGACTCACGGTCAAGCGCACGAAGAACTGATGCGAGCAGGGAATAATTTTGTCCTGGGCGTGCAAAGGTAAGTATGCAAATTTAAGGATCGAACGAGGAGGCTGAAAAGAAACCTTTCGCTCCGCGTATTACCCGTGAAAACAATTCAAAAGCAATGTCAACGACACGCCGCGTCGTTGGATTGGGTCGACCTGCGTCGAGGACGAGTTTAACTTGAACTACTTTTGACAGTAAGAATTTTGTTTAGACTGACCCACGCATTTTACGACAGATTTCCTTGCATTGTACTGAGAAAATAGATATTGGAATCAGTGTTTCGCTGTGATTTATTGGAAGTCGTGTTCGCGAATAAATGTTTCAGAATAAAATATAAGATAGAAATTCGAGCGAACGCGTTCCCGTGCGCTTACCGTACCCTATTATAATAACGCGACGCGCAGCCAGAATATCCCGGCGTACGGGCAACGTGTGGTAACGGATTGCAACACTTATAAATAGGTGACCCAGAATGAAATCTGTTTATCATTGGTTGGCGATTTTATTGCTGGCATTTACACCGCGCGCATTTGTTCCACGGATCCCTCTCATTACCCCAGAAGAGCGTGAACCGGCTCGCTGCTGGGCTTCCGAAAGCTAAGTTAAAATCGTCACTCGATCAAGTACCGTCAAAAATCGATTCGTGGAAAATAAAGCCCTATTTAAAACAAATCCAAAGTTAATCCCGGTGTGTTACGCAGAGAAGAGGATCCACTGAAGGCTCTGGAGGCGTTGTCCGAGGAGAACATCGTTCCTTATAAGATTCCTGTAGGTAGCTAGCAGGACGCAAAGTACATAATTGTGTTCGCTTGATTGGCGTTCGTAAAAAAGTAGCGCCGTTTGTCAGCTCGCAGATTTACCGCCAGTTTTCCCGGAACAAATCTTGAAGGAGGAGACCGTGATCGAGCAGCGCGAGGAGACGATCTGCGAGACGAAGGTGGTCGAAGAGGAGACCAAGCCAGAGGTGGAACCGCTCCCGGAAAAGCCCAAAGACGAGAACAGCGAAATTGTGCCGAATCAGAATCTGACGGACGACGAGATCGCCCAGCTGATCCTCGAGGAAGAAGAATTGCTTGACGATAAAGGCGTATTAGGGTACCACACGAATTCCTTCAATAAAAAGTGATCAATCAGAGAGATACCAATTGCTCGTGTGTTCCAGGGTGAACTTTAAAAAACTCCGACCCCGTTGTACCGCTCTGAAACAATCTAAGGTGATTGAGGAGCTTCAGAACATCGCCACAGCTGAACCTCTGTTAGTTGAACAACTTAGACGCACTTCAGTGTTTCTGCAAAAACCGCAGCGACCGATACCGGCGCCCCGTAAGAAGGAACCGGAGGAAGAACGCGAGCGCACCGAGGCTTATAAAGTCGTGATAAAGAAGCAGAAAAAGAGGAGCGTCACCGATCGTCTGTTGGAGAAGGGCCTACTGAGACCTGAGGACGTGAGCACCCCGGAGCCTCCTACTCCCGAGGTAAACATGGAAAATAATGAAACAGGAAACAAAGTCGAGAATGAGAACGATTCTTCCGTTCCGTCGACGTCGAGCGCCGACAGTCCCTGCTCGCAAATTTCGATCAATGATAATCTGAATTCGCAACAACCAATCGATGACAGTCCACTCTCGCAGGAGACACTCGATGATAGTCTTTGCGAGCGAGAACTGGAACTCGAAATCGAACCAACTGTCGTATGTTCCGAGGAACCATCCTCTCCGTCTATCGAACCTCCGATCGACGTCTGCCAGACTCGATATCCTGTCGCGTCGGTACAGTTGTCAAAACGAGCCAAGGAGAACGTAGTGTTAGCGAGTCGAGTACCGAGCAAACGCAAGTCGAAGAGCTACTGCACCCGAGCTCACTATCTCCGACGGTGGCTGTTCGGGAAGAGAAGTGACACTAAGAAAGTTAAAGCAAGGTGCCAGGAAAGCGGGTCCACGGAGCGACTTCAGCAACTCTCACGTCGCGGCAGCGTCGAGAGATCCAGAATAAAAGGTCGTTACCTCGAGACGTACTTGAAACGGGAGGATAATTGGATGAGGCGTATGGTCGACGGGTTGTTCGAGAAGACCGATAGTTTTTCTTCTAGCAAGTTGTTCGGTAGGCTGCTAGAGAGCAGAGAAATCTCGTTCAGGAGGACCCGTTACGGGGAAAAGATCCTCGTTCGAAGCGTAGAGTTCGTCGCGGACCGGCTCCGCACCGATGTTTTCAAGCGTATCGATCAGGGATCGAAACCGCGTATCGACAATCGTTTGTATTTCAAACCTCGTTACTTTCAGCGCATATTCTGGCGCAACGTTGTTCGTCTGATCGATTACATCAAGGGTACTATCGCATCGTCGGGCGGCCGCTCTCGAGACAGAAGGCGAAGCTCGATTATGAAGATGAGGGGTCGTTACTTGGAGACATATCTGAAGCAGAACGCGTTTCTGGATCATTTTTCTCCGCGGCTGAACCTGGTCTCGTCGAAGGGCCGGTTTTTCCGACGAACCCGTTACGTCGAGCGTATCCTCAAAAAGCACTTCGAGTCTCTCGGCTTAATCATCGACTGCGTTCGCTGCCAGGTTCTCCAAGGTATTTCCGATACTTCCGCCGTTATTCCAGGCCGCGCATCATCCTTGAACTCGCGCCAAAACCGCGCGCCCGCGAAACGAGACGACGACGACCGCGACGTTCTATCCAATTTGATCCGTTCATCGAAAGATCTTATCGCAAGCGAGGTGTTTCATCGCGGCAGCAGACGACTATCGAGATCGTCCCGAGGCAGCGTCTCTGCTTTGAACTTATCAAATACCTGGGCCGGCTGTCTTCTTAATTGGCTTCATCTCAAGTTCGCCAGAGGCTCAACGATTAGCGACAAGAAACTGCTCGTTCAGGATAACGATCGCGACGGTCGCAGATTATCGTTCGTGCCGACGATTCTCTACGAGGGTTTGACAAATCGTATAGGTGTCGATTTCACGAGATTCGTGGCATACGCGTTCGTCCCTTGTACCTCGATCATCTTGTTGTACATGTACAAGTAACTTGTACTCGTCGGCCTTGCCCGGATCAAGCTCACACCACTAGAGACGATACTATTAATGATTACGATTATTGTTTAGATTTAAAAACGACTTGTTCTAGGACATCCCTAACAGACGCTAGACCATCATGGACCATCTGTAAATGTATTTAAAAAAACAAAAACAAAAAAGAAATTGAGAAAGTGTCCGTTTATCGTGTTGTATCTTTTGTCCAGTATAATATGTTTCTCACGAGAGTACAGTTAGCGACTTGTACTTGTTTTTAGAGCCGTGCAGTAACGATACGTTTACGGCTGAATGATTTTTGTTAGAGGCAAATGAGACTCTCTCATTTTGTCTTCTTTTTCTGTTTATACCATCGAAAGACGCAGCGTATGTTTAAGGTAATAAAGAAAAAGTAATGCACGGCCCTGCGAGTACATGTAACGTAGTCTATAGCCTGGTAAAAAAAAGTTGAAGACACTGATTCATCTAGCATCTAACGAATGTAGAGATCTTTGAAAATCTCGCGTTTTCACGTACGCGCAGATTTACTGCATGTAATGTCTACGTATACATATATCCATAATTATTATCTCATTGTCAATGTACTCATGATTATGACGGATTGTCGAGAAAAAAAACAAATAGCCTGAAAATAAAATGCATCCAGTGCTAAAATTTCTCGATGACCCTCTTCAACGTCGAACGAAACTGTCTGGACGCAGCCTTCAAAGGACGATGATTTCCCGCATCCAATATCCCTTCCACTCTCCAGGAACAAGTATTAACTCCTAACCGAGTTAATTACTTAGTTACTCACTGAGAACGCAAGGCACTCCTAACGAACGACCGCAAAATGTATACGAAACGAAATAGACACAACTCGATAAGAAGGAAAAACATAATACACAGTATCTTGTTTTATTTTCTTTTATTTTCTTCTTATTGTAGTAATCGATTTCGATCGAAACTGCGTTTGATTAATTGTCACTGTAGTTTGAGAAAAACGTTTCGTATGCACATGAAATCCCACTATTTTGCACGACAGACTAGACAACCGTAACATTCATCTCTTCCTCGCATTCTGTATTTTCTTGTCTGAATTTAGGCGACACCGTCGGCGACTCCGGAACCCGGCTATCGATCGGATCAAGACCGCGAGGCTGGATCGCGTCCCGAATCGAAAGTCGAATCTAGGCCGGAGGAAAGCGAGACCGAGCAACAGCAGGAGGGCAAGGAAGACACCGAGAGGGTGAAAGAGGGTGAAACTCGTAGCAAAGAAAAAGAAGAGGAAGAGGAGGAGGAGGAGGAGGAGAGATCGCGAACGGAGACCGTTTTGAACGAGATCCAGAAAGAAATGGCAGACGTAGCGGCGAAGGTCGACAAAGAGAAGATCAAGGAGTTGGTCACCACGGAGATCAATCTGGAGAAGCAGTTGGAGAACGTTCAACGACAGTTATTGTCGTTGAGGCAGCTACCAAGCGAGATCGAAAGTCACCTGAGGATCGTCTCGGAACAACTGCAGAAGATTATGGAGCTGAGCGGCGTACAAAACGGCGCTGCCGCCAACGGCGAGGCCCGGCGAGGTAGGCTCGTCCGCTAAGATTACAATCCTACAATAATACTGCCTCGATCGGTATCTCTACTACCAGCGGGCCTATGCATATTTTCAAATTTCACATGTCCACTTTTGAAACGGTGCCAAGCGGCGACCTACGCCGGTCCGTTTCCGTTGCGAAACGAGCCGGGCTGCCTTCGATTCGATCTGCCTAAGCTCATTCGTTCATAACACGAAATTCTTTTGGCAATCGTTGTTGCCCTAGAATTCGAGGACCGTAATAATGGACGGTGATTGATGATCTGTTACCATCGATAATGTTTAAAGCGTAGATAAATGATCGATGTTTCAGAAAATGAAGAAATAAACGGTGAAGCGAAGACGTTAGAAAATGAACGCGAGGAGTGCGAGGAGTTTGAGGTACACGAAGAATGCGAGGAAACGGAAGAGACGGAGTATACCGAGGATATCTCGTATTCGGCTTTTTCGGAGGAGCATCCGCCAAGGATAGTTGAGCCTTGCGAGGAGGACGAGGAGGAGACCGAGACTCAGGAACTGGAGGGAACTCTGTCAGTGAAGAGCGAAGAGGGTAGCAGAGTGAAGAAATTCGTCGTCTCATATGAAACGAAAGTTTTAAAGTCGCCGAGTCCTGCACCTTCTTTCGGTAAATATTTCTTTGTGATCTTCCTCATTATTAGACTGCGGATCGTATGGTACGAAAAAATTTATTCAATAACCGAAGACATATTTCACATAAAAATTCGCAGTCTACTCATGATCATCACTAATTATGATAGGACAATGCTTAAAAAGAATGGTAACAGAAATGGAGCGATATGTATATTATAGGCAGTTTCGAACCAGATCCAAATCTATCACCAAAAGATCAAGTTATTCAGGAGTTGCAGGTATTCTAGAGAATGATACGGAATGCAAACTGAATGTAATTCCTGTAATCCTGTGTCGATCAATGTATATTATGAATTCCTAGATTATGCATTCTGTGATAAAAGATACCTTGTCATGCATTAACAGCAACGTCCGTCCAAACATACATACCTATGGCCAATAAATAACTAGTATTGAAGAGTAATTTACTATCTTTAATGTTTGTAAAACGATATTTATACTTGATGAATATCAATTTGTGATCCTAATAACCTGGAACTTCGTCAAGTCGTGCAGATTCTCTGAAATGGGATACGTTCGAATTCCTTCGTGAAACCCCTTCGTGTCAAAAGTATTCCCAGATCGTACGGAAACGTTGTTTCGTGAAAGAACGTTTTCTATGTATGTACGTATGGATACGTTCGCAGGAGAGAGTGAAGGAACGGGGGAGGAAACGTTCGCAGGATCTGTGGCCGCAGGCTAAACAGGTCGAACTCACGCTCGGCCGCAGATGGAGGTGTCCGAATGATTTCTTCAATGACGAAATGATCGCCGAAGTCTTATCTTCCCAGGCGGAAGTAATTCGAGGCAGAGCCCTAGGGTGAGCTTGTTCTTCGTTATACTTTTTGTTGTCGGATTTGAATTCCATCGGACGCAACGATTTAATAACGCGGATTGACTGTTTCATCTCGCTGCGCGGCTTCTTTTGAACTCGGGCTAAAGCGATTAATTATGAACTATCAGTAATCTCGATGATTTACGGTCGCAGGGTAAACTTCAAGAAGTACGAGAAGACTGCTCTACCGAACTACGATCACTTAATGAACTCGAGCGTTTATAAGATGATTCATAAAATGGAACGAGAACCGAAGCGAGGAATTCCGGCCAGGCCAGCTAAAGTGAACGCAGCCGAGGACATAATCGAAAGGGTCGTGAGTATCCGATAACATCTGAAGAATTTTTCTCGGCCCCCGAAGAAAAACATACTTGAATCAATCTCCTGTCTTGTCTTCATTTTTAGAAATCACCGGCGTTGAGCATCCCAGACGACAGGAGCACTCGAAGTGTCAGCCACTGAACTATTTAACCAACGACAAAAGAATTCTCTTGTCCCTTGAGAGAAGTGTGATCGATGGAGCTCACCGACGTAAAGGATACTTGAAGAAAATGGAACGGATACGTGCGCTACCGTCAGCAGTATCAAATTTGAAATGTAAATGCATCGGGTACATGCGTATATGCCTCCAAGCATTGTTAAAAGCGAAAGAACAAACGTTATACGGATTAAGCGTTAATAAAAGGATTGATTCTTTTTCGTAAAACGTCATCATTACTGCGATTTTTATGCAAAATAAAAAAATAAAGCATTTGTCTTATCCTTTAAAAATAATTGTATGGATTTCCATTTTATCTCGCATCATTCTTTTCATACATTCTCTACAGGTATATTTTTCTTACACAAGCAACGCATCAAATTCGCAGCTTGGCCATTGTTTCGCGCATCGATCCATACAACTACGTTCCTATTATCATTATGGGTTCCCAGACTTTATCTCATCGAGCACCAAGATAATGGATACAGTGACGATTCAGAAAGAGGGGTGAAATTAAAAAAAGATCTGATCGTTCATCTCGACGAAACTGTTTCCAGTTTAAGCTAACTACGAACCGCCGAGTGCTGTTGAACCTCGCTTTGCGTACAGTTCTTTCGCAGAATCGGATATCCGAGGACGAGCACACGGGTCAACGCTGCGGATGAGTCGCACAGAGGTACTTTCACCTTTCCGGAGTTTCCGACTCTCATCCGAGAGACCGGGTCCCGCATGCGTACGGGAGGCTGAGTCACTTCTCGCCGTGGCTAACGTACGTACATTACGTTCTTTCTTCTCCTTCTCCTCCGTTGTGCCGCGGTGGACGCCTCATGCTTAGGGTCCGAGAACGTGACGTCGGTCCCGAGCAATTTATGTAAAGCATTCTAGGCATGATTCACGAACTAGTTCGCGCCCTCGTGACCGCCACCGGCGCAGAAAATGCTATCGCCTCGAGACAACACGAAAATCCGATCCGGACTCATCCAATCGTGTACTCGCAGATTTCGTCTCTTACTAACATTTTTAATTAAGGATGTATTGGCTATACAGTCAATCCCAAAAGTTTATGTACCTTAGAGAAACGCATTTCCTATAATTAAAAAGAAATCAGACGTCGGAAGAATAATGCTAATAATAAATAGCTACGTGCTAAAAAGTATAGAAGGAAATATCCAATTAAGTATTGACGCTGACGAAAAATTTCTTTTTTTCAAAATTGTGAAAAATGCTTCAAATAA